TCAAGCCTGTAATCCCAGCACTTTGGGAGGCCGAGGCGGGTGGATCATGAGGTCAAGCGATTGAGACCATCCTGGTCAACATGGTGAAACCCCGTCTCTACTAAAAATACAAAAAATCGGCTGGGCATGGTGGCGCGTGCCTGTAATCCCAGCTACTCAGGAGGCTGAGGCAGGAGAATTGCCTGAACCCAGGAGGCGGAGGTTGCAGTGAGCTGAGATCGCGCCATTGCACTCCAGCCTGGGCAACAAGAGCGAAACTCTGTCTCAAAAAAGGAAGGAAGGATAGATTGTCTAGACAGAGGGACATGCTGTGTGTGAGAGACAGTATGGTGGGTCCTCAGGACATATGGAAAGCTTGCCAGGCACAGTGACAGCTGGATGCGATGGGCTAGAGGGGAAGTGGAGGCAGGGCTGTGCAGGACCATGTAGGTGTTATACCATGTTAGGATTAGTAATGTCGTTAAGTTTTTTAGGATTTGTTTGGTTTGGGTTTTTTTGGAGATGGGAGTCTCACTGTGTCATCCAGGCTGGCATGCAATGGCATGCTCACAGCTCACTGAAGCCTTGACCTCCCAGGCTCAAGTATTCCTTTCCTACCTCAGCCTCCATAGTAGGTGGGACTACAGCCTGGCTAATTTTTTTTTCCCTTTCCTCTAGGCTGGAATGCAGGGGCACTATCTTGGTTCACTGCAACCTCCGCCTCCCAGGCTCTAGTGATTCTCATGCCTCAGCCTCCCCTGAGCAGCTGGGATTACAGGCCATCACTCCCGGCTAATTTGTGTATTTTTAGTAGAGATGGGGGTTTCGCCATGTTGGCCAGGCTGGTCTCAAACTTTTGACTTCAACGGATCCCCCCACTCAGACTCTCAAACTGCTGGGATTACAGGCATGAGCCACCAGACCCCGTCTAATTTTTGTTTTTTGTAGAGATGGGATTTCGCCATGTTGCCCAGGCTGGTCTCAGCCTACTGGGCTCAAGTGACTATCCTGGCTTGGCCTTTGAAAGTTCTGGGATTACAGGCATAAGCCACCATGCCCAGCCTTTTTTAGGCATTTTTTAAAAGTCATCTGTCTCTCATGGTTGTATACCTAATAAAAAATTTCACTTTGAAAGTATTTCTCTTCACTGAGGTCAGGAGTTCGAGACCAGCCTGGCCAACATAGTGACACTCCATCTCTGCTAAAAATACAAAATTAGCCAGGCATGGTGGTGCATGCCTGTAATCCCAGCTACTAGGGAGGCTGAGGCACGAGAATCACTTGAACCTGGCAAGTGGAGGTTGCAGTGAGCCAAGATCATGCCATTGCACTCCAGCCTGGGTGACAAAAGCAAAACTCCGTCTCGAAAAGAGAAAAGACAGTGTTTGTCTTTTTTTCCTAGGTGGTTGGGATCCATATGCAGGGACTTGGGTGTGATGAAATGCTGCAGGGTTTTGCTGTTGCAGTGAAGATGGGAGCAACGAAGGCAGACTTTGACAACACAGTCGCCATTCACCCTACCTCTTCAGAAGAGCTGGTCACACTTCGTTGAGAACCCGGAGACTCGTCTGGCTGGCAGTGGGACCCATAGATCTTCTGAAACGAAACAAATAATCACATTAACTTACTGTTTCAGTTTTGTGTATTTCTGTATTTTAATCAGGATCTTCTAATAGTGGAAACTTGTAGTACATATAGTAGAACTTATTTATGGAATAAGAAATTTGTAGTGTTATCCAGGATTGATTTGCATTTGATCACATCTTACAATAATTTTTTCAAGTTATTTTTATTAACAGCTCTCTACTAGTATTTTTTTTCTGTTTTAGCCTCATTCTAAATATGAAACTATGTGAAGTACAATTAAGTTATTGTACTTGAATGAATAGAGCTTGCTAATTTTTTTTTTTCAGATGGAGTTTTGCTCTTATTGCCCAGGCTGCAGTGTAATGGCACAATCTCGGCTCACTGCTACCTCTGCCTCCCAGGTTCAAGCGATTCACCTCTCTCAGCTTCCCAAATAGTTGGGATTACAGGCATGTGCCACCATGCCCAACTAATTTTGTATTTTTGGTAGATACAGTGTTTCTCCATGTTGGGCAGGCTGGTCTGCAACTTCTGACCTCAGATGATCCACTGCCTCGGCCTCCCAAAGTTTTGGGATTACAGGCGTGAGCCACCGTGCCCAGCCTGCTAATTTTTATAGACGTTGATGGCAACTCTTCATATGTAAACAGTGCCAGTACACAGAACCTTTATGTGTTTTTTGACGCCAGTACTGTGCTCTGCATATAATGAAGCTGCTTCAAGGATGTGACCTTTTTTCTTAAAAGCATGTGATGCAAGAGGCTAGCCTGCCTTTTTTTTTTTTTGAGATGATGTCTTGCTCTGTCGCCCAGGCTGGAGTACAGTAGTGCGATCTCAGCTCACTGCAACCTCTGCCTCCCAGGTTCAAGCAGTTCTCTGCCTCAGCCTCCCGAGGAGCTGGGATTACAGGTACCCACCACCACACCCAGCTACTTTTTGTATTTTTAATAGAGTCAGGGTTACACCATCTTGGCCAGGCTGGTCTTGAACTCCTGACCTCATGATCCACCCGCCTTGGCCTCCCAAAGTGCCGAGATTACAGGTGTGAGCCATTGTGCCTGGCCTTCTTTTTGCTGCTGCTTTTTTTTTTAATGATGAAAAATGGTTTGTGGCCAGGCATGGTGGCTTACACCTGTAATCCTAGCACTTTGTGGGGCTGAGGCAGGAGGATCACTTGAACCCATGAGTTTGAGACCAGCATGTACAACATAGCAAGACCACATCTCTACAGAAAGTAAAAAAAAATTCCCAAGCGTGGTAGTGTGCATCTGTAGTCCCAGCTGCTTGGGAGGCTGAGCTGAGAGGATTGCTTGAGCCTGGGTGAGGCGAGGCTGCAGTGAGTCCTGATGATGCCACTGCACTCAATCTTGAACAAAAGATCTCAAAAAAAAATCTGTATTATTTTTATGATATGAAGTGCATCAAACTTGGGAAAGATTTGAAGAGGCTGGGAACCTTCTGGAAAGACTCGCCTTAAGAAAAGAGAGACATTTATAAGTGATTCCTGCTTTCCGAAGGAGGTGGATTCAAATACTTAAAAAGTCCCTTCCTCTGCTAAGAGTTTATAAGCACAATGAATAATTTCAAAATTTGTATGTGTTCTTGTCATTTTATATTTTTTTTCTGAAAATCTCCAAAAATTTGAAAATAAAATTACAGACTTTTCTTCTTATAAAATTTGTTACTGTGAGATTTAATTGGTACCAGGAATTGGTTTATTTTCTAAGGATATTTCACATTGGAGAGTCAGTTGCCAGTATTTACAGGAGTGAAAAGAGAGTTCTCTTATAAAAATAAAGACCGAAGGTGTAGAAAAAACATTTAACAGATTAATGGTTGGGTTGGAAGAACAGCATGAAAGTCATTTAGGCCTTTAGCACTTTATTTCTATTAGCTTTTACCAGCCAGTTAAATTTTTCCATGATTTTCATTAGTCATCCAGTGCCGCTAAATTCTTTCATTAAGTTTTTACTGACTGTCTTTTTGGTTAGTTGTGGCCAGTTATACTGCATTGACTTCTTTGGTTTTTGAGATAGAGTTTCACTCTGTTTCCCAGGCTGGAGTGCAGTGGCACGATCTTGGCTCACTGCAACCTCTGCCTGCTGTGTTGAAACGATTCTCTTGCCTCAGCCTCCTGAGTAGCTGGGATTATAAGCATGCACTGTCATGCCCGGCTGATATTTGTACTTTTAGTAGAGATGGGGTTTCACTATGTTGGCCAGGCCAGTCTTGAATTCCTGGTCTTAGGTAATCTGCTCTCAGCCTCCCAAAATGCAGGGATTACAGGCGTGAGCCACCACACCTGGCCTGTGCTGACTTCTTAAGTAGGCCCAATGTCAATGAAAGAAAAATACTGTATTAGCAAGGAAGTGATATGTATTTGTGGAGGGGCAAGAAAATAAGATCTCCAGACTTGGGCATGGACAAGAAATAACCACTTCTCGCCTCTTCCCCCAGCTAAAAAGACTGGACCAAGTTCTAGGCTCCATTCTGCTGGTGGGTTCCTCACTCTCCATAGGCCCCAACCTTGAGATGTGCCTCTGTCAGGGAAATGGGAGCCCCTAGTAGTCACATCTATTTTAACATCACGTGTTCTTGATCTCATATTTATCCTCTGTGCTGCCTGTGTGCTGGTTCCATAGTAAACCAACAACAAGGAAGTAGAGTACTCTTATCTGAGTTCCTGTCTGCATTCTTTTTTTTTGGGGGGGACGGAGTTTCGCTCGTTACCCAGGCTGGAATGCAATGGCGCGATCTCGGCTCACCGCAACCTCCGCCTCCTGGGTTCAGGCAATTCTCCTGCCTCAGCCTCCTGAGTAACTGGGATTACAGGCACGCGCCACCATGCCCAGCTAATGTTTTGTATTTTTAGTAGAGACGGGGTTTCACCGTGTTGACCAGGATGGTCTCGATCTCTTGACCTCGTGATCCACCCACCTCGGCCTCCCAAAGTGCTGGGATTACAGGCGTGAGCCACCGCGCCCGGCCTCCTGTCTGCATTCTTATCAGTCCTTGAACTGGCCCAACCCTTGAGGTGTTGTGGCTTAACAGCCTCTATTACTGAAAGCACCAAGGAATAGAAAGTTATACCAGGCAGCACGTTGCATAATATGGGACACATTGTAGGTGAAGAGTAGATATTTATTGAAGATGATATTTGCTTTCAAGTAACCTTATAATCTAGAATAAAAACAGTTTTATACACATAAGGCAGTTAAGCACAGGAATACCGTATGATTTATTGACTAAAATGGCACCCTTTCAAGAGTGAAAGGGGGTCTTGTTGACAATTTACACAATTGGTACAGATTAGTGCTGTCTCAAATAGGAGCGTGCCACCCTCATTACATATTATTAGGGAGGTAAAAGGATACAAGTTCAGAGGACCAGAAGTGCACTGTTGCTGGGAAAAGTGAGGAAGGCTTCACAAAGGAGGTTAGGTAGGATTTGAAATGTGGGGCTGCAGAGGAAAAGGCCAGAGCAGGTAGAAATTTAGTGAAGGAAGGATTGGATAGATTATTGTATTGCTGGCTGGGCGTGGTGGCTCACACCTGTAATCCCAGCACTTTGGGTGGCTGAGGCAGGTGGATCATCTGATGTCAGGAGTTTAAGACCAGCATGGTCAACATGGTGAAACGCTGTCTCTACTAAAAATACAAAAATTAGCCAGGCATGGTGATGTGTGCCTGTAATCCCAGCTACTCAGGAGGCTGAGGCATGAGAATTGTTCGAATCTGGGAGGCAGAGGTTACAGGGAGCAGAGATGGCCCACTGCACTCCAGCCTGGGCTACAAGAGTGGAAAAAAAAAAAAAAAAAAAGTGCTGTATAACAAACACTTAAAGTAGAAACCATCTTAAATCTCATTTGTGCGTCAGCAATTGAGGCTGGGCTCAGCTGGCTGGTTCTTCTATTGGTGTTGGCAGGGGTCATTTGGTGATATTCAGCTGGCAGATGGACTGGTCTAGAGTCCAAAAGAGTTATTTGTATGTCTGACACATAGGTAAGGATAAAGGAAACCTGTGCCTACACGTTGCCTCTTCAGTATGGTGGTTTCAGAGCAGTGGACTTAAGTGGAAGCTTTGGGCTGTCAAAGTGTTCTGAGAATCCTGGGCAGATGCTATAAGCCTTATGACCTAGCTTTGGAAGTTCTAGAACATCACTTCTGCTACATAATATTGGTTAATCAAGTCACTAAGGCCAGTTCAGATTCATGAGGAAGTGAATTGAACTCCTCCTCTAGGTGGAAAGGAGGGGTAAAGAATTTGCCCCTGTTGGCTGGGCATGGTGGTTCACGCCTGTAATCCTAGCACTTTGGGAGGCCGAGGAGGGTGGATCACTTGAGGTCAGGAGTTTGAGACCAACCTGGCCAACATGGCGAAAACCCATCTCTACTGAAAATAGAAAAATTTAGGCATGGTGGCAGTCACCTGTAATCCCAGCTACTCCAGAGGCTGAGGCAGGAGTTGCTTGCTTTAACCCAGGAGGTGGAGGTTGCAGTGAGTGGAGATCATGCCACTGCACTCCAGCCTGGGGAACAGAGTGAGACTTGATCTCAAAAGAAAAAAAAATAGAATTTGCCCCTGTCTTTAATCTTTAATTGTACCTGGCAATCTCCTACTCATTTCATAAGACTGAACTAAAGCATCACCTTTGTGAAGACTTAAGTGGTTTTGTGTGTTCCATTATGTGTTGCCATAACAGCTTGTCACATTGTAGATGTGCACTACATGTTCACTTTGTGTATGTCATTTTTCACTTAGCTTAACCATGTCTATCTTCCTGTGTTTGACAGTATCATTCCTGGGATGTCAGGCAGCAACTCTGGATACAGCAAAGCATGTTACTACAATTTTTGACACTAAGATCAAAAGTATTGGAAAAGCCAACATTTTAATCCTTTACCTTTTTGAAAAATGAGTAAGCAGGCATATTTGGATTCTTCAGAATAATAGGGTATGTGTGCATACAGAAAGAGATTTATTATAAGGAATTCGCTCGTCCTATTATGGAGTTTGGGAAGTTCAAAATGTGCTGTGGAGG